TTAAAGCTCTGCTGTCTGGGCACAGAGAGTTTGTTAGTTAGAAAGCGGTAGTAAAATTGTGTAGCTGTTAGACGTGGTAGTGTCACAGCTTTCAAATGCAGCTGGACAATCGTAACTTTTATACCAAAAAAATAAAAATCCTTGCTAATGGCCTTTCAGTGGTGTAGGTCTAATCTGCGTGTGTTTGGTCGGAGTTTAGCACCACAGAAATGAGTCCAGGGCCCCTCCAGCTGCACTCCAGTGGACTGTAGAGTTTGTGTGATTTCGTGAAGTCTGCTGTCGTACGGCACTGAGGAGGGAGGTCTGGGCAGTTGGCACAGCCTGTGGGGAGCAGGGATCCTCCAGATTCTCCTCCTTTGTCCTGCTTGGCCTGAGCACTTTGCTTCCTAAACACACACACGCCCTTACCTATAACTGGACAAACCTATTTTTAAAGTCTGTAAGAGTATTTTTTTAGCTAGATTTTTTTGTTAATGCCACACTAACTACTGTATTTTTACCTTTTTATATGTAAAGCTCGGTGGTAGGTCACAATGTATAATTTATTTTTTTTTATAAAACAAAGTGCACCCTCTCGCTTCTGTGTCACGAGGATAGTGATGTATGAACTGCTTTAGGCACCGCACTGAGATCTGTATTGAAACTGTACATGGGAACAAGAAGCTGTGATCTGTAGTCCACTCGAACCCAATCTTGAAATGTTTATGCTGTAGTTGTGTCTGAAATACACCACATCAGTGCAAAAGTCTTGCAGAGTCATCTTTTAGCAGCTCCATGCTATGCTGGTGGCGGACAGGTGGGATGTGAGACCCGGGGCATTGGGGACATGAGACCTGGGACAGGAGCTGGGCATTGGGGGCCAGCGGGAAGTCAAAGCCAGGGGCACATGGCGTGCTGGGGCAGCGTGCGGCTCTCTGCAGGAATGTGTTTGTTGGTCTGCACCCTGCGGGCACTCAGCAGCTTCTTATGGAAGAGACGGGCACCTGGGCTGGAGAGAGACTTGGCAGCTTACTTGGGATGTCAGAACTGCAGGCCACATGAAATTAACCTGCTGTCAACTAGTAACTTAAACACCATCTACGCTTAGAGACATTAAAGACTTGCATGCTGTATTCTCAGGTGAACTGAGATCTTCCAGGAAGGCTATCAGGTGGTCAGCATTTTTGAAAATGATACCAGGTGTGTCCTCCATGTGGACAGAAATGGGTGCCAGTTAGCTGAGGGACCTTGCTTTGCTTTTATTTTCAGCGTTCAGGGGAATGTTTTATGCTTTGAAGTACAGTGGTGCTAATGATTGTTTAAAGAAAACTGTTTCCAAAGCTTGACTTTGATGGAAAGCTGAAGAAGGCAGCAAAGGGCAATCACGCCATCTGGTTATCTTCATTTCTCAGTGATGAAGACGCTTAGGAAAGTATCACAAGAAAGTGAAATAATTCCACCTCAATAGCTGAGCTCAGTAGAAAGTTATTTCCCCATGGCATCATTTTTTCTGTAGGTCAAACTACAATCCCACCAATATGTGACTGAATTGTACTTCAAACCCATTTATAACTGAGAAAAAAAAAAGAAGAAAAAACAATTTTGGCCTATTTTTTTAAATTAAATTAAAATTAAAAACAAAAACTATACCCACACTCTTTATTGCATGTCTGTATGTTAAAAGAAAATCCTTCTGCTGTTCATGCATTTTGATGTTCAGCAACCAAATACTAATAAAAGACAAATAGTTTGAGATATTTAGAGCTGATAAATTTGATTTCATGTGATACATGATTTATGATAAAACAGTACCTCTCACATCTCAGATGAGATGAACCTGAACTGAAAGATGCGTTTTAAGATTACATCAGTTTTTCTCCAGCCACTAGTGGGCATGGGATCTGTGGGACTTGACCTCATCTGAAGGAAAGTCCTCCAGAACGCAAGTAGTGTGAACGGTGGATCTGAATGAACTTTTTCACTCTGTAGATACATTCCTATTATGCCACAGGGCTTCTGAATGTACGTAGTCTGTGTGACCTTGAGTCACAAAGCTAGCCCTAGCCTTACCTAGCAAGAAGTTAGCTAGCCTTCTTAACATTTTTGGAGGTGAGAATATTTTGTACTTCTGGAGATCAAATTCTTTAAGACTTCGTAAATTAATTATTCAAAATAAGTCTTTAAGACTGATGATACGTGCCTTCATGTTCATGTATCCTATATAATAACAGTAAAATGTTTGAAATTCATTTAAGACATTTTCCTGTCCGGTGCGAGAGGACAGTGATGCCGTCCCAGGAGGCACCAAGAAGGAAGGCAGATGATGCGAAGAAGCGTCATGGGCGAAGGCAGAGTGCCGGCGGCACAGCAGACAGCAGTGCCCACAGCAGCTCCCGCTCACAGCCCGCAGACACCCATAAGCGGTACGATCGGCACCGCAGTGACACGGGGAACAGGCCGGCCCCTCAAGCACACAGCGAGAGGGGAGCTGGGCCTTCTCCTAGTCACAACGGTGGTGCAAGGCAAAGGCAGGGCCATCAGCCAGCCAGCCGCGAGGAGCACAGGCGTGACCATAGTGCCCAATGCGGTGTGGGACCCAGACATGGCTATCGAGCAGGTGGCAGGATCGGACCCACGAATGGAAATGAAGCACAGAGTGGCACAGGGCCTGCGCGTGGAAGCGAACGACCCCGTGGTTCGGCACCCTGGCGGGACAAGTCTCCTGATCAAACGCATTGGGTGCGGCCAGGCCCCAGCAAGGACGGGCTCAGCCCTCAGCAGCTCCAAGCCGTGCGTTGTCGTTCCCCGAAACCAGACAGCAACTCGGGGCACGGGCCTTCCGACTGCCACACCGATCGCATGGGGCGAAGGCAGGAGCATCGGCCAGGCAGCGGCACGGAGCAGAGGTGAGCCTATCAAGCAAGCCCAGACACCTACAGGCAGTACCATTGGCACCGCAGCGATGCGGGGAACAGGCCGGCCCCTCAAACATGTAGCAACAGGGGGCCTGGGCCCTCCCATAGCCACAACAGTGGCATGGGGCAAGGGCAGGAACATCAGCCAGAGAGCCGCGGGGAGCACAGGCGTGCCGATCACAGGGAGCACAGTGCGGGACCCAGCCAGGGCCAGTAAAACAGAAGGCAGCGTCAGGCCCATGCATGAAAATGAACCCAACAGTGGTACAGGACCACCTCCACTTGAAGAGACCTGGGACTTCCCGCAGCATGTCTCTGCTCTCTGCTCTCCAAGCACACAAACAGAAGCACTACTCTTCAACTATTAAAGCAATTAGGAGACATTTCTTCTCAGAAAGAGTGGTCAGGAATTGGAACAGGTTGCCCAGGGAAATGGTCGAGTCACCGTCCCTGGGGGTGTTCAAGGAAAGGTTGGATGTGGTGCTTAGGGTCATGATTTAGTGGGTGACATTGGTAGTAGGGTGATAGTTCGACCAGATGATCTTGAAGGTCTTTTCCAACCTTAATTTTTGTATGATTCGATGAGATTACAATAAGCTTGCATCCTTTTGTTTTTATTCTGTGGATCAAATTAGGCCAGTGGCCATAACAAACACACGCAAGCTTCTCTTTTTTCAGAGAGATTTTAAAACAGCAAGCTTCAGCCCTAGCCTCTCCTGCTCTGTGTCCAGCCAAAAGTGATGTGTGCTGTTTCCTTTCTCAGTAGTTGCTGTCAACTGGACTGATTCCATTGATTACTCCCTGCAAGCCACCGCAGGGCTTTCAGTTGGCAGCAGTGTTTAGTCAGTGGCTCGGGTCTGGGATGAATTCTCCTGAACTGCTGCAGCCGTGGAGAAATGGCACGGGCACATCCACAAAGACTCCGCTGCAAAAAGGTGACGGTGCCAGACCTAAGTGGAACCGGGCACCAGCAAACGGGGAGTGAAACCGCTTGAGGTGCTGGGTGGACACGGGGTGTAGCTGCCAGCACTGAGTTCTGAAACAAGACATCCCAGGGAATAACAGTGCTACGAGCAAGGATTGCTTGTGTTGGTCTCCGATGCTGTTTGCAGGTTTTTGGGACAGGACCTGAAGTACAGGTTGTGTGTGCACAAAGGGAGAACGCTTCTGCTGCTGGGTGGCTGTGGGATGCAATTGCTCTCCGTCTCAGACCCTTTCCTCTCTGGGCAGAGCTCACCCTTGCTGGTAAAGCCCTGGGAATGGGCCCCCATGGGGACAAAAGAGCCTCCAGTGGCTTCAGCCCCTCCCTGAGCTCCCTGTGTGCCTACAGGGGCTGGGGGCTGGCAGGCCAGGCAGTGGGGTGGTTTGAGAGGTTCAGCCATTCTTGGAAGAAACTGGAGCTGAGCCGAAGGTGCTGGTGTAGCCACCTGACTTGGCTCACCAGCAGCGGTGAGGGGAGGACGCGGGGGAGATGGGCATGCTCTGCAAGCTGCTTTTTGCGCCCTGTGCCAAGCCTTCGCCTTAGGGCTGGCTCGTGTCCTGCCTGCATCGGATCCAAGTAAATGTTAAACCTTTTGTGGGGCTGCCAAAGAGAAGGGAGTCGGGGGGAGGACGAAAGGAATGGCAGAGGCTGGATGGCATTTTCCTGGGGCTGTTGCACATCCCCAGGATACGTGGACGTGCCAGAAACCATTCTCATTACTTGGAAAATCACTGTTTTATTGTTACCCTTTCCAGATAAATTTCATTCCCTCATCAATCCTAGATAAAAGTCTGAATGTTACAGCAGCTCTCTGGATAATGCCAGAACAGATGTGTCAGTCAGCAGAAGAAAAATTTGCAACTGATTAAAGGTTGGGGTGCTCTGCACGTGCTCAGCCTAGTTGCTGTATGAAGTTCTCAAACATACCTCCGCCAACAAGGCAAATCACTGTTCTTGAAGGAGAAATTCAAATCCTGGGCAGCCCTTCAGGCCTACTGGATTGCCGTGAGATGATGCGTGCTTGTGGAAGCACGGTCTTTGTTCAGAAAGGTAAGTTCCTTGTTCATTTTGAAAATGTAAGTACATATTTTAAACTCATGAAAACCCAGAGAACACACACGCACTGATATGAAATGCAGCAGGCTTTATTTATATGGCAGCATACAATTGTGGTCCTAAAAAAAGGTCACTGAAGGTCCAAATAACTTTTAATTAGGTTTTTTGCAAACGTGTAATTTTCCTATTGATTTCATGTTACAGCAACTTGAGAGATTAAGGAAGTAACCTGTAAATATTCCCACTGAAGATACATTATTCCTATGAAATGTTTGAGAACAAACTTGTTCTCATATTGAGAAGCATTAAATAACACTTTCCAGTAATTTCATTCATCATCATTTCTGCTTACATGAGGCTAAATAAATCAGAAGGCCAGTATCTTAGTAACTAATACAAAAATAAACACTTGAAACACTGGGTTTCACAAAAACACCTTTCTCAGTGAATTGAAATGCTAGCGAATTTTTAAACAAACAAAAAAAAACATACAAAAGCTCAGGATTTACGTTTACTTGATATAGAGGGGAATTATGTAACATATACTCAATATGTATGCTTACAAAGCAACGATGGAGTTGAAAAAGCAGAGATCTTTGAAGTACATGCAATCCTAAGTGTCTTAGAAAATGGTGCTATTAAAATTCAACAAATCTCTCATAGCCAGGCATGACTGTAACATACACAAACTTGATTTCAGTGTGGTTTTATGGGTGTTTCTTTTACTTATCCCAGCACAAAATAAGCTTTGCACCTCAAATGGCAGGTATGGAGGTAGGGTTATTGGAGCTGTGATTGTCAAGGCAGCATTGGCCACTGCAACTTGACATTCACTGACCAGAAGTAACAAAAGCAGCAGTGTTCCCACAGGCTCATCTCAAAAACTGTAACTTGTATGTAAGTTGTGACTTACATATGTAGAGGTTTTTGTTCACATTGTAAAAAGTCTGTTCCTAGCAAGTACAAGAAGGCTTCGTTTTTTTTCCCAGTGTGCCACTAGGAAACAAAACAGTTACAAGTGGTTGGTTTAACACCTCCTAGCACCTTGGTGGGATTTCATCCTTCTGCTTTGCAATCAAAGTGGTGACAAGCTATCAAACCCGATTTGCCAGAACGAGATTTCAGAGAAGCTAGACAAAGGTTTACCCCCAATGACCAGCAGCACGTTGGAGTCACTGCTGACTTCATCCACTGCAGTCGCGTCCCGACAGTCAGTTCTCTCCTCTTCTTCCACAAGCACAGCAGCAGCAAAAGTCTCTTTTTCTGCAGAGACAAACAGATGGGTGGGTTTTTCCTTTGACAAAGTGCTGGTTGCTCTGTTTGGGTCTAGCTCTGCCCCCGAAGTGGTTTGAAATGCACGGAAGCCCGCTGGCTCCAGAGGCAAGCTGAAGGTTTTCATTTCAATCGCTTCGCGTTGCTCCCTGCTGAGCGCTGGGCAGAGAGGCTGACGATGGAAGTAGTTGCACAAGCGGCTGTGCTTCGGGATGGTCACCAGTGGGTGGCGGTCCTTCTGCTTGCCCTTCCAGTGACTGGGGGATGTATTAGGGGAACCTGAGGTAGTTTGAAAAGCAACACCAATTCCTAGAATGCAGTGATACATTTTAGGAAAAAAGTTTGCCTTTGTAATACCACTTAGCTTCTTCCATGCCTGTGTGTGGAAATGGTACTTCCAGAGGTCGTTGTTAGGACTGGAGTTTGAAATCCCTCCACCAAAAACTAGCATTGAGTCTTTGAAGACCACTGAAGCGTGTCCTACTGCTGGAGGAGGTCCTTGGCTAAATACAAGAGAAACCAGCAGTTATGGGGAGGTGAACAAGAAACTAACACTGATTTTAGCCCCTAGTTTTCTTTTCACTCAAGAGAATGACCACTAAAACTAAACAGCTGCACTGGAACATCAAAATTGTATCACTGACAGCTGCATCAATGTGTTGCCAACACCTCATCCAAGCAAAGCCAACTGGAGCCTCCGGGATGGCAACAGTACTGTCTTAAACTGAACAACTCCTACCTTTGATGAAAAATCAGTACCTCCCCCTCTGCTTGCATGCAGTATCATATGGTAAGGCTAATTCTCTCTTTCTGTGTCAATTTAGTTTAACAAACAGTATGCTTCACCTTGTTCTGATGTTGTACCAGCTGCTGTTTATGAAGTCCCACTTCCAAAAGTCCTTCTGTTCACTCAGCCCCATCAGTCCTCCAAAGAGATACATGCCTGTTTGATAAACCACTGCTGAATGCCCGTGACGAGGTCCAGGACCACTGTTGTGAGGTGGGGTGGAAACACACAACCATTTTCTTGTATCTGAAAACAAGATATTAATTCATAATTTTACCAAATTTACCATAATATATAAAAATGGATTTATTTCAAGAACAAATTAACTATTCTGTTGGAGAACAGGTGGGTTCTACTCTAAATGTATTATCGCATAAGTTAACAGCTTAATTTCTGACACTGCAGAAGTGCATAAACATTTAATGAAAATGTCAGATGCTGTATGACAGATGCCATGGAAATTTTATTTACAAAACATTTTTTCCTACCGCTTAGTTAATTCATTACCTCTGTCACAGAAAGGTAATTTCCTAGGTATAAGAGGGAAAATCAGCCAGCAAAACCATTCCTTCATTAATGCTTGTGCTCATTCTGCCTGCGAGGGAATGAAGGATGAGATGAACCCATCATCCATTTCAAAGTAGCTACTGAATGACCACCAGATAACGAAAGCTACCCAGTTTAGGAAGTCTCTGGGAATCGATATGGTTTTGTAACCATATTGATTCATGATGAATATGACACCATCTCCTGTCAGGTTCAGCTCCCCAGGGTCCATTCGAGATTTGAGATTCAAAAGATGGCATTAATAGGCCAAAGTCATGGAAAATCTCTACTGCAACTGGAAGTTTTCAGTAATCCTTGAAGAATGTAGTGAGTAGAAAGCAAAGCCCACTCCCTGATTCTCAGCTCTAGAACTGGCAAATACTGCAGAACTTCTTCCAGTATAATACAGTCCAGTTCATTTCAGATGGGGATTAGTTTAACTGACAGAATTCATAATTAAATGCTGCCACACAGAAGCCAAAACTAACTTACAACATTATTGCTGGTAGGAATTTTCTTCACAGAGCGAGCCGTGTTATCCTACAACAGTCATCACTTCATGGTGACTGTACTGGATCAAAAAATTATTGAACTTTTAAACTTACCAAAATGGAAAGACCAAAATTCTTGTGAAATGCCTCTGATACCAAGGTATCCCCCGTAGATATACATGCTGGAGTTGTACACTACTGCACTGTGACCTTTTCTGTTCGTTGGTGCCAAGCTCTGAAACAGTTTAGGAATAAAGTAAACAAAATTGTTAACAGTCCTATCAGTGGCAGTGTCCTCCTCAGGAATATTCCCAAGCAATTGAAACCATTGCTCTGAGTTGTGTTAAACTTCTTAATTCAAAAATACAGAGTAAACCAATGACTGGAGCAGCCTCCCCTTTTGTCCACCCCTTTTAAGTGCCTACAGCCTCCCTCTCTCTGCATCTGCACCAGTAGTACTGCTTTCACGGCTACTGCTACACACAGGAACAGTTTAGTTTTAGGACACATTGCAAATATTCCAGGCAACTCTTGGGAATGTAATAGGGAGACACAGCCCTTTCCACCATCAAGGACAACCTTCCCATCATTTTGCTTGCTGTGGATTTGCCCTGCCACAAGTCCTATGCCATGGCCAGGCCCTCAGCAGGACTCCAGGTGGTGCTCACTGCATCTGCAGCAGTCTCAGTGCTGCTGAGACTCACGAACCCAAGCCCAAGGAGGCCCAGGTGGAGCTGAAACAAAATACAAGGTAAGTGTTTGCTTTTGTTCATTTACAGCCCAGTTTTGGGGAGGTGGAGGAGCCATGCCCATCTCTCCCTAAGTATCTCCGTATCATTTAAGATAATTGCAAGAAACACTTTATCTATCAGCTCCTTCTTAGAAGTAGGAGCAATGCCATTGAAAGTGGATGCACAGCCCTGTGCTCTACAAGGGACGGAATTATATGGGTGACAGGTCCAAACACCTTTCTTTCTCACAAATAACCTGCAGAACCAAACTGAACTCCTCTGCCAAACACAAGTAACCATGTTAGCAACTGTGTCAAATATTAACATTTTTTGTGAAACTTCATAGTGTGAGGATGAACTTCCAATAGCAACTAATAAGTGAATCTTTACACATAGTGATATAAAACCAATGCTGTCAGACCACTGACCTAAACACTTAAGCTGAGGTTTCATTTAAAAGCTGGACGTTTCTTGGTGAGTCGTTCAGACTAAAGAAATGGGAAGTGCTGCACTTCACATTTCAAAATCTATTAGTGTGACTGCCAATCTGTTTCTACAAACCTACTTTTAAAAGCAGGCTTTTTTTTTTTTTGATGGTTGCAGTGCATCATTTAGGATTTTTTTGTTGATAAGTATTAAAAAAACAAACAAAAAAAAACAACAGAAAACATAGTAGAGAAGACTTAATTTTTCTACATAGGACTTAAAATTTAAGAGCAGTATTCTTAAATGCTGTTTTAAAGAATGAAAAAGCCTTAGTTATTGAAAGTGCAAAGAAATAAAGTACAGCCAGCCACATGTCTCTGAAGAGATTAGTTTGGAACTGTTTGGGGGAACATATTTCAAAGCAATCTGTTTAATCAACAAAGCAACAGGCATTTGATTCACACATTCACCACTTCCTGGCTCCTTACCTCATTCTCTGCTGGTACGTTACGGCACTCTGTCCATCTTGCAGAATCTAGGGAATTGTTTTAATAAAGCGCAGTTTATATCCCAGACCACAAGAGGACACTCCTCCAACATCAATTTTTCAAATCACAAGTCTAATTTTCTAGTAAATCCCAGCCTGGTGTTTTCCACTGAGAAGGCTAAGGAAATCTGCTTCCTTTCATACAGCAGTACCAGGGAGCTGACAGAGACATAGTTTCACAGTTTTCCTTTATCCTTATCTGCTATCAAATCACTGAGATGCCATACTGAATTTCCTGTTTCCTAAGGCTAAATTTCACTACACGAAAATAATCTGTGATTTGCAGCATTTGCTGGACTGGCAAAACACCCAAACTTTCCAGCGGAAGCGTGGCTCCTTTTATTTATTATTTAAACCATGTAACAATAGCCTTATTTTTCTTGTTCCTTGTCACAGATCTCTCAAAACAGTCCTCAGATAACAGTCAAAAATCACTGATCTGAATGACTGAAGATACCAGATACCATCATCCCAGAGACAGAATATCTAAAAAATCCTAAAGAATACCTTCCAATTAAAGGAAGACCTGACTTTTTGATAGCTTAACAGACCAATTTTAGGGAAAAATATGCCCACAGTTTCACACTTATTTCTTCTTGTAAAGCTAGGGACAGCTTGTTACAGGCAGCAGAAAACATTTTGGGTCTTACTAGTTTTTAGTACCTATGGACTTGGAATGTCCCATGGAAGAGACTGGCTATTGTGTATCATACCAGTATCATATATCCAGAGGGGGGTTTTTGCTTGTGTGAAAGCAGAATCCAGCATTCCACCAAAAATACACAGGGTGCCCTGCAAAATGGAAAAAAACTGTTTGTCATGTACAGGTAGGCATGTAGCATAAAGTAATTTTTAAAATAATTCTGAAAAGACTGATATCATCAAAATATAATTAACAATAATGGCAACCTATTAACAATTCATGAGGTAATCACAAGCCACCACCATCTTCTCATCTTATTTTTATCCTCTCCCAGTAGGAAACCCTGTAGAAGGTTGTGCTATTTTGACAGGGACAGCATCCCAGAAGCACTTACTTCTTCCTCATCTGGGACAGCTTGAGGGATGCAGATCCAGAGCTCTCAGAGACATTACTCAGGTAATACTAGGTTTACTCTTACTTGTAGAAGGGTTTCATTGTGCTGCAGCTCCTGATATCCTAAATTCTGTTTCCCCCTCACAAGCAAAGCTGTAATTCTTATTTGTCTTCACTCCCCCGTTTCTTTTCTATGCAAGTTCTTAAGTGAATGTTTTTATGCTGGTGCTTATCATGCAAATGAATTCAGAGCAACTGTTACAACTGTACAACTAAGTCAAAGAATGCTGCTGCCAAGGTCTTTATTTTGTATTACTACTATGTACTGAGCATCGACTGAGGAAATCAGGGAGCTGCACGCTGCTGCAAAGCCGAAATACCGTGACTTTATTCAGAAACGTTCCAAAACATTGCATAGCTACATCCAGAACTGCACTGACACAGAAGTCCTTTCTGGGTATAGTATTTCAGTACATAATATATGGCATTTTATTTCACTGTACAATAGGAAAATAAATGTTAAAATACAGACAATGTAAATTTTGCCTTCCTACCTTATAAACCACCATTGAATGTTCTTCCAGTTCTTCTGGACCATCTCTTGAGCAATCCAGCATCTCCCATTCATTCCTCGCTAAAAACCACAGCTCAAGTTAAGACAGTGGTAAACTCAATATATAGACAGTAAGAAAAAGGGGAAAAGATCAGCTTTGAATTTTGCTGCACTCTTAGAGTCAATGAGGGATGAAGGTTAACAAATGCTCCCTCGTTTTCCTTGTTTGCTATCAAGAAGACTGAAGAGTTGCTGCTCTGAGGAAGGCAATCTTAAAAAAAAAAAAAAAAAAAAAAAGCCTCTTGTCATCTTTCCCCTGTTAGTTCAGAATATTAAGGCACTTCCCCCAGAATTAAATTAAATTATGGGCATTTTTTTATTTAGCAACCTTAAACAGAATGGAAATTTATCTTGTTTTGTATTTTATTGTTATACTGTTACCTATGCCAAAACCCAACAGCTCTGAGTTTTATCCAGGAACAACATTTGAACGGGGAACACTGTACATTAAGCCTCAGAAAATAAGTGTCATATTTGATGGTGCATCACTAATTCAGTCTTACAAGGTATTATATTCATGTGCTCCGTTTTTGTGTTCTTCCGTGAATGAACTATTTCCATGTAAAAGATTCAGTAAATCCATGTCTGTTGTATCCCTATGGTAAATGAATCAGTATTTTTGGTCAAACTAAAAAAGAGAGAACTCAAATCTAAGCTTTCTGGGACACCTGCAACAGGAACAAACACACACCATTTGCCCAGCGGACATAACGCAGTTCACTTATCCTTTGATCTTCAACAGCATTTATACAGCTTAGGTAGTTGCTTGAGATACAAGATTATTTTGATGGAGAAACACTAAACTGGGAGAATCTGTTAGCTGTAGAGCGTCCCCAGTTTCACATTGACTGGATGCGCTCTCTCTTTAATACCGACATATAAGTGAAGGGACAAACTTACCTAGATTGTATCTCCAAAAATCTCTCAGACTGGTGGTGTTCCTCCCTCCATAAAGATAAACAAATCCTCTGCAAATAACGCAAGCATGTTTATATCGATCGCAGGGAGAGGGCTTCTCTTGCGGTGCAGATTTCCAATCGCAGTGTGCTGTTTTTCCTTTCATGCTGACAGCTAAGAGCATCAACTGGAAAGGATGACCATGTCAGGGGAGGGTCCCACAACATCAGGGACAGGGTTTAAACCCTGCCTGGTCTGTAAAAAGTCAAAAACAAACAAACAAACAAAAAAGTCAAAAAAAAAAAAAAAAAAAAAGAAAAAAAAAATGTCTATGTCTTACGATACAAAATTCTAGTGTTTTCTTTAATTTCCATCAAAAGCAACCTGACGTTTTTTGCCACCTGTGATAACCAGAGTAAAACATTTGCAACACCACCTCACAGAGCCACGTATCAGCGAGACTGGGACAGGCACGTTCCTGGAGCTGAAAGTTTTCCAAAGAATGTTGGCGAGTTGAAGGGATGAAGTGCGGCACGCTACATCTACAATATGGCAGAAAGCAAGGCTCGCTCTTTTTTTCACTGTTTCAGGTAAGCTGTGCTTGAAACAAAATTGGGAAAGCCGAATATATAAACAAAAGTAATTCATTAGCACTTGTCTGGAATTTATTTAGACTTTCATCCCTGAATCAGCTGAAAGTAGGATGCATCTGGAAAAAAGAGACACTATCCCTTCGTTTGCCACAAGATGTCACTGTGTTCTGTGAAGACACAAGCACCAGGAACAACATTCATCTCTCGTCCTCTCCAACATGTATCATGGCCAGTGTTTTAAAATAGATTATGTTCAGTGTTAAGCCAAATCACGAGATTTGCTTTGGTAATATGTCTGAGGTGACAAACATCACCACATGAGGTGACGAGGACTCCTAATTCTAGGAATATTTCAGTGAAACCCTGAATTCCAGTTTAGGATCTAGGATTGGAAATTGATGGATCCCAGTCCGTCGGTATGGGCACACCCTGCACACAGCATCCCTTTGGATCAATTCTAAGGTCAAAGTAATGAATGCCTAGCAAATCCATTCTTTTGGTTTGAGAGGTAAACGCAATAAACCTGTAACTGCTTAGCCCGATTATTTCTAGTTAACAAAAGACAGAAATATCAAATTTGCCCTGAGATATACTGCAATAGATCGTTTTTCATCCACAGAGAAATTTCATTACCTCTGCTGCCCACAGTCTTCCTCAACAAGGAAGCGTCAAGGGAAATTTTCCCTCCATCTCTTCGGAAATGTGAAGAGAGGAGCAAAGCTTTTACAAAGCCTGGTAATTTCACAGTCACAAGCAGCAGTGCAGGCAGGCACCAGGGTAATTTGTCCAGCTCAGTGCATTGGGGTCTTCAGCTTGTGTGAGTGCCAAGAGCATATTAACAGTTTCAGTTTCCCAGGTTAATTCACAATGAAAGTGCATAGAAGCAGCAACACTTGACTGATCAGAAACCACACCCAGGTAAGGTTTGTTTGCTGCAAATGGCCATTTGAACTTCTTAAAGCCAGAAGTTACTTAGAAAGTACAGCAATGGCATGTTAGGATACAGGAAGACCTCTTCCTCATATCTGTGTGTGTGGGTACATTAACCACGTGCCTTGACACAGTGTGACTTCGGTCAGTGTAACTCTGCCTTCCTTGTGTGATGCTGCACTTGGCCATCTGTGTGCCAGTGAAGGTCAACATAAGTGCTGCTCACCCTGGACGTGTCTGATTATAGGATAAGGGGACAGGGAGAAACTACAAAGTATCACAGAACTGTAGGGGTTGGAAGGGACCTCGATCTCTGTCAGAAGTTGACATCTTATGAAAGGCTGACGTTCACTTGGTTTCAAAGATGTGGAAGATGTTAGTTAACTGAACATGGGATCATAAGAGAGGCTTCTATAATCAGTTATAGATGTCCAGAAGCATACTGAGTAATACTGGCCAACAACATAGCCCTTCTTATAATTTTTCTGTGCATTTCTGTAATAAGCCTGTATTATTGTTTTCCTCACAAAATCCTACATCTTGTCTCACCAATGCATTTCAAGCAACATTTTTGCTTTTGAAAGCTTGTTTTGATGTTTTTGAAAATTCTTCTGGGCAAATTCATGAGCCTTCATCAATTTTTATTCCCTCCCTCTATCATGGTGAACAAAGAAGCTCCCTTACACCAGTAGCCTCCTATGCTAGTGGAAAAATGCAGACACCTACTGAGCTCCCTCTTTAAAATAGGATTGACTCCATCAGGCTTGTGCTGAGCTGGTGACAGAAAGCCCAGCTGGCCTCAGGTAGTACCACAGGCAGTATGAAGTGCATTTTGGAGCATGCCTGTTATCCATGGGTCCTTCCATTTTATGGGGTATCACCACTGCTACTGTCCTAAAATAACCACGTGAACTGCAGCCCAGTACCCCTCTGATATTACTGACCTCTCCCAGATGAAGGTGCAGGAAGTTTAGGTCACAGTCTTTATAAAATATGAACAGCTTAACTGTTGCTTTGATTCCTGAAATCACAATGGCCACAATGAGATTGCATGCTAAAGTAAGAAGCTTCTGATAGTAAATACCTACTTGCAAAAGCTATGCCTGTATTTTCACTGTATCTGAAATTTGTACTTATTGCTATTTATTCCCATGGTCAGTAATGAAAGGACATGAGCCCAGGAGCTGTTTACAGCACAGATCCCTGCTGCATCTCGTAGTTTCAGGTGTTTATGTGGAAGTCCAGGCAGAGATGCACATAATTACAGGAAAAAAAAATTACAGTAAAAAAAAAAACTACTGAAAATAACTAGAGCATATTATTATGGAATGCACGTATCTAATGTCATTTAGTTTATCATACAATTTATCTCTAAGATTTATCACTTGTAAGACTAGAATAGATTCAGTGACAAAAACGTGTGAGAGAATCTCTTCTGGCATGTTCTGTTAAGACTAGCTATTCAAATTGTATTCATCCACTTTATGCAAACTGCCATTGAAAGGAATTAGCGTACAAAACTGAAGGGTGGTTTTTTTAATATTTTGTCTTAAAGAATACAAGATTGGCAGCATTTACAAAGGTGTATGTCTCTTTTTTTTTTTTTTTTTTTTTTTTCCCCCAGGAGAATTAGCAGCTATGAAGCAATGACGCATTCTACATGTCTAAGTTTGCAATACTTTATGGCATGCCATTGAAAAGGGAAAAGGCTGAAGTCATGAAATACAGATTTTCTCTTTAACTCTGCCTGTGTAACCTTAGCCAATTCACCTATTTTTCAGCTACATCTACAAAGAAATACAGGGACAAAGACATCCCATTAGCAGAACACTTCAGATTTACTGATGCAGTGCTGTGCAAGAGCTTTAAGGTATTACCACTGCTATTGATATAATTTAATGTGAAAAAAGATTATAGGTCTCTGCTATTATTACTTAACAATGGTAAAATGGGCTTGTACCCTTGAGTTTTGTTTTTCCCAGCTATGAAACTAGTTATTCCTCTTCCTACATATTTCTGGTTGTTATTCTTCCTACACAAACCTTGTCTCCTATTATATAAGCATTCACAGAAGGAGATAAGTCCTGATTTCATACAGTAGTTTAGCAACAAAATCCCATCCACTAGTTTGTCTACCCCAGCTGAACTCTGCATAAGGCAGGCAGGGTAAAAGAAAGCTCAGCTGGAGTTAAATGAATGGGGGTCTCCTGGTCACACCTCCAAGCATCCACTGACCCTTGTGCATCAGGCACTCCTGGAGGCAGACCTACAATCACTAAAACAGATCAGTTAACAAATTGCTTCAATTCAGTTTGGATGATGCACTTAGAAGTTAGCAATCCCAAATCTTGCCTTTCATCACTGGTATTTCAAATTATAAACTCAACTCCTACACTGCCTTTGTTCACTTACTGCCTACCTTACCTGTCCTGTTTCCAAAGAAAACCGCTGCTCTTTTAATGCCACTGAAAAATGCTCTCTGTGTAAAGCATCAGTGTCCTCAGCTTCAATTTGGTAAATTAATTATCCAATAGGAAGCTCTCTAACTTCAGAAGAATTAAAACAAAACAAAACAAAAAAAACCACCCAAAAGTCAACTCAGAACATTTTTATCCAACTTTCTCCAAAGCAGCTGTAACGCACAAGAAATGGCTGCGGCTCTCCAAACTCTTCTGCTGGTTCGTACTAAAAATAACCCCCCTGCAATCAATCCCAATTGTTCAACAGTTTAGGGAGCTGGGAGACGAGGCCCTAAAGAGCTGCAATTAGCGTGGTAACTATAGCACAGAGTACTTATCAATTAATGGCGCCACATTACTGTTTCATAATAAAAATAATTCAGGAAATGTAGAAAGACAGAAATTACTTCAGGAAATGTAGTTTATATGTTCATTATATAATTATTTATATTTCTATTAGATGTGGTTTCTCAGACAAATGATTTATTTATTTTAAGTATTACTTAAATACATGCTCATTAAAGCATTTTTTCTATCTGGGTCCCCTGATTCCTTTCCATCTGTTTTCAATATACTCTGAAAAGTTTCAGATTTAAGAGGATCAAGACTTCTGAAATACAATGAGATAAGAAATCACTCATTTGGGGAATATATATTTTTTTGATGTTGTTAATGACCCAGTTATCTGAACCTTTATGTGAGGAGAGTATTTTTATTTTCTTCTTAGGCAATTTGATATTTTAGCGCTCTTCAAAAATAATTACAGGATTTCCTGGTTCTACTGATCATCTAAACCCTTGCTTTTGTCGTGGCTTTATTTAACAGTTGTTCCAGCAGGACAGCATGAATAAGGAGAAATCTTTGACCAAAAATTTGCAAGGCAGTTGTGAGACTCTACTTTTAAAAACAGAAACACTTTTCTTTGTTTTGTATAGCTTGGATGGCAGCCTTTTTTTTTTTTCAGTATATCAGATTTAATTCTATTGCCTTAACAGGTGTGATGAATTTCAGTATCTCAAGGTTTGCTATTTTGTTACTTTAATTTCAAGTCATGTTGTCTCCATTATTTATTTGTTTATTAATACAGAAACTAATTTTCAAAGCTGCCCAGCTTCAGAATTTCCACAGGTCCAGGATGGCTCTGGGAATGTAGAATACCAGTAATATTTCCATATTAATTACATTCAGAATTGAAATAAGGGTCTTGCTTTGCTACATGTTGTAAAGACGGTTACTGCATGACTGAGCTTATGACTGAAGTAGCCAAGACAAAGGGAAGGAGATGGAAACTGTTGTTTCTTCTTACAGGGGGAAGATGACAAACAGAAAGGATTTGGAAAGCAGCACAAAAATCGTAGCAGGACACACGGCTCCCCTCTGATCTAAGGGTTCAGAGAAGTGCCAGGTACTGTCAGGTAAAGCACTAACACCCCTGTTGTCTTTATAAAGCTGAAGGTGAACCTACCGAAAATTTAGAGAAAATCTGAAAGGTTTTTATGTTAAAAATCTGAAGGACTTTTATGTTAAATAGCTCTTACTTGAATTTTTGCAATTAAGTTTACAAGCTAAGCATTATCATTGTTATTTTTCAGTGCTTCTGAATGCTTTCTGTAGTGAAGATGTATTTCAAAGGAGGCAACTATTCCGAAATAGTCATGTGTAATTACAGTTTCTATATACTGCAAACTTAATGTATGTAACCGCCACTTCTGGAATGTAGAGTCCTGTATTGGCACCTTTACTGCACAGCAGATGAGGGTGTTGATCATCTGTCCTCGTTAACAGCTGCCTGCCCGCTCCCGGAACGCTGCAGGTAAGGTATCATGCTTCTTATTCAGATCACATTAATGTTCAAGCTCTGATTTCAGAAGTGCAGATTTTGTTTTCTTTTGCAAATTGACATTATTGATCTTTCTGTATTTTTCCAGAAGAAATCTGTTATGCTCATTAGTGTGTAGCACTACTCCCTATTATGAACTAAGTTCTTAAATCGTAATTAATCTAACAATGTATTAATAGAGAAGTATAAATATATCCAGCTGTATTTTCTATGTGCTAGATATATTTCGTATTTTTAAGTAAACAAATACAACTTGGTTTGGTGTAATACTGTAAATATTTCTACGATATTTGGGAAATAGATGAGGGGGTGGTTTCTGGAAAAAAATAAATTCAGTACACTAAAATGTTTCTGGGATTGCTACATCTTTCTAAACACCTATAGTATATGAACCAGGAAATCACCTTTTTCACTCTATTGAAATAAATCTTATGGTGCAGACAAAAAAATAAGTACATCTATACTACCCCACTTTCATGGTTTATTTTGTGAAATAAATTAAAATCTGATTTTTATATAAATAAAAAATAGAATGTATAGTTTTGACTATATAGTATATCTCCCCAGGTGATCTGTTTATTCTGATTTCCCAAAACTGCAAATAACAATTTAACCACAACACAATTTTGAGTTAAGTTTCTGGGAAAGAGCTTCCTGAAATTGGCATCTGTAGGTAGCACAAATACAACACGTTAAGCAAAGATAAATCCAGTGCACCTGTCACACCTGATCAAAAGCTTATGCTGATAATGAATGTGATTACGTATGGGTTTTATTTGGTTTTGGACCTTAAGGGAATATTTATTTCAGAAATCTTATCTGCTTTTCAGATGTTATTTAAGGTTGTGTTGTCAAATCCAAGCATAGGCATGGCAAGAGCTCATTCTCTCTTGGTCTCACCAGGTAACTGGGATAGATGTCATGACAGCAAGATGGTCCTTTGGATGTCAGCTGATAAAAACAGGTAATTTTTCTCATTCTAAATATGGCAGAGGGAGAAAATACAGTTCCTGCTTCTCACACTTGAAGCTGACAGAAATGAGAAACTTCCACCATGTTCACAGGGCAGTCTAATATGTGTTTGGCCTTTTGCCCTTTCCTTGGAAGCAATCTGTAATCTTACCACTGGAAATAGGTCATTCCAGTACATGGGTCATCACCCCCATCCCTCAGAAAGAGCAGTTTTCGATGTTCCTGGAATTGTGGGATTTCACAAGAGCTTTACGAAATTTACTGGTTGGATTTCTTCAAGACAGAGCAGGTAGATGGCCAGGAGATTCCAGGTAATACATCTATATGCACTTAGGTGTGACTAAATGCATCTTTTTGACAGCTCACAGACTGCCACTGAAGCAGCTTCTAAATACTGCATTTCCTACAGGAGACTCTACTTTGCACTAAAACACAAAATTTTCGAAGTTAGGGAGAATGTGGTTGACAGTGGCTGCCCTCCTCAGGCATGAATTCGTGTATTGTGGTATATATGTTACAGCTGACCGTATCAATGAAAAGCTATCAACTTTATTACTAAAATACCTGCGCTGAATTGTACATGCTTATTGTTTATATTCCCTAACTGAGGAAAAGAAAGCCTAATGTAACACTCAGCAACATTCTCAACTAAATAACCTACTTCGTGGAAGGCAGACAATGTGCTTTTCCTGTTCCAAAGACATTTTGCCCTTAGACAAGCATGGAGAAAGGGGTAGAGAAGATGCACAAGGTTGTGAGAATGGCAGAAGCTGTAACCTGAAAAAAAGAGAAAAGAGAGGGCATTTGGCAATGAAAATAATAAAATGTTCCAGCTGGCAAATCTTAAAACATCCAGATATCATGTCTGAATCGGAACGAATTTAGATGATACAGTATGGGAAAAGTCATGAAAGACTTCATGACTTCTTCGTGAAAAAGTATCAGACGGCACAACTGGAGAGCCTGTCAGTGCAAAAAGGATCCTTTATAGGGAAAATAAATTGAACACTCAGGTGAGAGATGGCTGCATGAAGACAGATGATACGATTGCATAGCTGGAATAGGTTGCGTTCAGAGGAATAGTTAGATTTCAGCCTGTCAGTGAAAAATAAATGGTGTCAGGCAGGCAAAGGGTAATGACTGTGCTGCCTCACAATAACCTTGATGCCAACAGCTACTGGGCTGCACCAGCAAATGGAAAAAATACAAACCCACATAATTTCAATATATAAAGAAGACAGAAAGCATATGAGTAACTTTACACACGCACGTTGACAGCCCAAATTCAAATGGAATTACTCATGTGAACAAAACCAGTGATACGCATGAGCCTGCACAATGTAGCCTAGATACCAGGGTAAAAGAAGGACCCAACTCTTTTGTTAGAAGCCTGAAAAAATGTTTTGCAAGCTGTTTTCATATTCAGCCGCAGAATGACAGGGCCCATTTTTGACCGGAGCCTGCCTTTCTGAGAACCCCTCACTCCCAGCTACCGTGGTCCAGCATTCATCCCAAGCCAGACCCGCTCTGGCTCGGCCTTCGGATGCTTGCATTTCTTTGTCTTGCGCTTGGCGTTTTTGCCGCTTTAGGGTTTTATTTTTTTTTGGAAAAGGGCTGTGGGGGGAGCCTGCCCGCAGCCCCGCCGCTGCTTCCCTCGCCCTTCCCGCACCGCCCGCGGCCCGGGGGCAGCGCTACTCACCGCGGCCTCGGCGCAGCGAGGAAGGGGCAGGGGAAGGGGCTCTCCGCCGCCTGCCCCCGGCTCTGCCCGCAGCCCCCGGGGCTCCCCCTCGCCTCTGGCCGGGCCGGGAGCCGCAGCCGGGGGGCGGGCGGGAGGCGCGGCCCGGCCCAGGCCTGCGCGGCCTGGGGTTGCCGGCCGGGGGCCGGCGGCCGCCATCTCAGGGGGGGCGGTGAGGGCTGGTCCGGGCCCCGTCAGCAGGGGGGCACGGCACCTGGTGGCTGTTCCCAGCACAGCTGGGGACGGAGTTTGGGGGTTTATGTTGTTTTTTTTTTTTTTTTCTTTGTTTGTTTTTGTATGCGCTTCCAAGCCCTTTTAAGTCAGCCTTTAGCCCCAGATCCTCTCTGCGAGCTTGCCGCGGAACCGCGGTCCCGCTGCTTGCTTGGGCTTGTGGCCTTGGCGTCCTGCGCGGCTGCTGCAGCCTCCATGGTTTCTTCTTTCCCTTTATTTATTTTGCTCTCTGTTTCTCCTTTACAGCTACGTGAGGCTTCGCAAAACAATCGGGATTGAAACTCCCCCGCCCACATGTGCCTCTATTTTCTACATTGACGTGTTTTCCTGCTTTGGGGCGAGGCTACTGCTTCTTCATTAGTATTGTGCCTGGAAAAAAAAGTATTACACGTGTAATCGTTTTTTCAAGTTATAAGTGGAGGCCAATAAATACACCCAGCCCAGAGCAATGCAAAGCACGTGGCCTGGGCTAGATGAATAATATGAGCATCTTCAATTAAAATTTACAGTATGTGCCAGTATGGTGGTAATGTATGCTGCTGATTTTTATTTTTTTATGCTAGTTCTTCTGGAGTTGTGGAGAGGCTGGACCAGAGCTTCAGTGCAGAACTTTCCCCAGAGCCTCTTAATTGCCTCCTGCTAGGGATTAAAAACAAAACAAAACAAAAAAACAAACCCCAAAACAAACCCACACATCTTTCATAAAAAGAAGTCTGAGATCATTAGCTAACATTTGGAAGTCCCTCAAATTAACATGCGTGAAGGACTGTGGCCAAACTCCCACTGGCTCCCATAAAAGCAGTAATCAGTCCTTCAAGCAAGATTCTCTACAAAATAACACCCAGAAGCCCCTGCAGAAGGGATTTGCCAATCTCACCATCTGACTAGATTAAAAACAGCAGTAACAATGTGATAATTGACAGGAGAAACTTCCTTGACAAGGAATGAATCAGTGTTTATTTTTAGCATTTTCCCCCAATGCTTTATTTAAACGAAAGATTAACTAATTATTTCCGTCATTATATCGTCCTCACTAGCAACAGAAGGTGGCAGATCCTTATGTGTCTGCTCAGTTGCTGCAGAACGCGAGCAGCTCTGTTACTTTGCTTCAGCTCATCCTTTGAGGTCTGTGAGTGCCCTGGCCGGATGTGTTGTGCCAGCTGCCCTTTTTCTTTCTACAGTAGTCTGATTGACCTGGAAAGTATCGGGGCTCCGCTTGGCCTCACCCTTAAATTTAGTATTCCCCCCCATCAGTGTTGTTATTTCCTAAATGGTAAGCCTTAAAAAAAATCTTCAGAAAATTGAAACTAATTTTCTGTGTGTTCCACCTTTGCTCCAGTGCTTTATTTGAAAAACAGGTCAGCGTTAATCCTGTCACTGCAGCTGCCCACTGCAGCCTGTTGCAATGTCAGGGCACTTGCATTCCGAACAGATAAAGCGGAAAGGAGCCAGCAATAAAATCTTATCTGGGAGAGGGCAGCTCACCTGAAAATTGGGCATTTGTTACAGGACAAATGCAAGGAAACTGGTCATAGTCCCAGTGACACCAAATAGTATCTGTTTCTGCTCATAAGCCTTTAAGTTCTGCTTTGTTTTGAAACGGGGGACTTGACATGTTTTTCTTAAAGTTTGAATTGTGGGCATGGGTTTAATTAGCAGAAAGGGATGAGATGTATTTGAAAATGTCTGAGTTGTGTGGGTGGGCTTTTTTTTTTCTTTTTTTCTTTCTTCTTCTTCTTCCAACTATTGTGGAACTAAGAAACATAAATGGCAGTTTGTTTCATTTTTCTACATATCTATAATATGAGGATCACTACAAAGCATACAGAGAACTGGTTTACTGGTCTCTCACAGTCTCAAAGCAATTGTACCATGCTAAAATCACAGGTAAAATTACATTAATTTTAGTCCTAAAGAGTGAATCTCATTGTCAGCATTCAAGTGTTTGTTCTTCTATGTAAAATATTTGTGCAGAATTTCTTTTGCACACTCCTTAATATTTCAGATAATTTTGAATGTGACTACTTGATCTAAGCCAGTTCTAGGTAAAATCATTCATTTTTAACTATTTTAGTGTATACCTGATCATTCTTAAACAGAGTAAAATGTCCTCAAGTGGAAAACCATGGAAATCATGGTAAATGATCAAGTTCTTTATAAGCTGCCCACTGGTCTCTTGCAGAGTTTAAAGGGAGACATTCAATTGCTATATTGCCTAAGGGAGCAAGTTGAATCTTTGGTATCTGATCTCAAATATTAGTGCCAGAGATGCATCAAAGGGGAATTATACCCAGAAATGAACGTATTTTGCCTTCTATTTCTACATCTCTTGAGGAGACCATTGCAGACATGGCTACTTGTTGGGATGAGCTCTCTGTCTTGCAAGTATTATCTGCAATGGTTACCTCAGATCCCCAGATAATTTAATTTCTGTTTAGACGAATACAGAGCACTAACAGGAGCATTGTACAAAATGATTTAATCTGTGGGCAATCAGGCCAAACAAATCCATGAATCATTCATAATCTTTCATATGCATCTGCATTGCAAGAGATACAGTTAACTACGAAGGGAAACATTATGGATGGGGGGTGGGTGAGACAGGGAATAAGGCAGATCAGTAAAATTGGCATGAAATACATTCTTATTTTTTTTTTTAACCAGAATTTATTTTATTGGCTACAGGCCAAGTCCAAAACCCAAGGGCTCAGGTCAGAATTTGAGCTCCTAAATCTAAAACAGAGATGGTGAAAAACCCCAGTGAGCTGTGTATGACCTTGCATCATGCCTAAATTCCTAAGCCACCTTACATTTTTTTAGGTAAGCTACTTGGCTATAGAGAGCCTCTCTGCAAGTACCCAGATCTGGATCAGTTCAACAGGACTGAGCAGCTTGGCATGCGCTCATATCTCAAACAGGAGCTAAAACCTATGTGTTGCTCCATGCGTGTCCCCAGAGTGGCTCAGTTCAAGAGGTAAACTTCAAACCCCTCTAATGTATGCCAGTGGGACTGGTCTTAACAAATGCAACTGAGCCCATTCCTTCTAAAAAGACATTTTTGTGTTATACTGCAGTGGGTGAAGCATTTATCCAGGAGGTGGAAGGTCTGAGTTCAGGGCCCATTATTTGCAGATCAGAGGTATCAGCAGTCACATTGATGTCTGCGTACAAAAGTATTCACCTTAACCCAGATGCAAAGCTTGATCACTCTCATTGTGACCCTGCACAGGACATATTACAGGGGGTGGTGAAGCTCAGTACAGGGATACTCAGATTAGCACTGATCAGAATTGGGTAATGCCATGCTGTCAGAAAGGGTTGAAAAGTGGCAGTTTTTTAGCTGCAATGCAGTGTGTGTAGAGATGATGGTAGCCAGTCCAGGAACCTCTGTCTTCAGCACGTTCCTACATTCAGGCAAGCAACGATTTACTTCAAATTACTAATTTTTAATAGAAGTGCTTACCTCAGTCCAGCAATAGCTAGCTGGTAGTTTGGATGTGCAGCTACCACATTAGTACATATAACCCACGCCACTTACTAGTCAACTCTATGGGGATTTCTCCCAAGAATTCACATTTAGGAACATCCGCTGGATGGCACTCTTGTGCCATACAGTATATAAGCATTTGTGATTTTATTTGGCTGCAAGTACAGACATCTTTTAAAGTCAAAGAACTGAGTTCACTCTCCTGTATGCCATCATAAATTTGGAGTGACTTCACATAAGGCATTCAGTTTAATTTAGAGTTGCACCAGTGTAACTGGGAGAAGAATACGAAACAGATGTTGTGAAGCAGTATTTTGGCTATTAATTCTATCAATAAAGTTTTGAACAATTTATGAAACTTAAATGCAAGGAGCAGGCATAGAGGCTGTGGTCATGAAAGACCAAGGGCACCCAGCTTCAGTTCTTCTGTTACAGACTAACCGACTACACTAAAATCTAATAATCAACCCTTATGCTTTTACCTGCCAGTGTTTTTTACTCTTAAACCTGCTATTTCATACACACCAGTCTATAAAGATACAAGACAATTATTTAATGACTGGTTGCAAAACAATAAGCTATCTTCATTTCAAAAGTCAACATTTGAAGTTTTAGTTTTAAAATGCCTAGTCTCTATGTTCAAAGTGTTTGAAGAATGGTCTGAATGCTAAATATTAGACTTTTATTTTGAAATAGTTGGAAAATGACTCAATTATTTTTACATAATTCTATGAAAGTGTTTTTTTTTTTCCCCCCCCAAAAAATCTAGTTTTCTGAAAATAAATCAATTTTGGACTAAATTTACAAGTCATGATTATCTCAGATCTCTGGTGAAATTGAATCATGTCCACAAGAACTCTTTGATAAAGATAACATATTTGGCTTAACTTTTCCTGTACATGTGTTATGTATCAATGAAGGGTATGGGAGAATACCAGGAAATTTCTGTAAATACATTTGAACATCAGGGAAATATCTTCATGAAATCTGTTCTGCTTCTTTTCTGTTGGTCCTGTAATGAGCCTCGCTTCTCCCAAACCTGAATCTGTACAGTACTCTGAATATCAGCAATATCTGGTAAGTCAAGAACTCTTTCAGCGAGGTTGCCTTCTCCATCTTCGCCTACTCTAAAACCAATGAAAAAGCTAGGGTTTAACATAAGTTGAACCATTTTCTATTTTGGGGTTGGTAAGTATATATCTGGTTTCAGCCAGGGAAGGAAGTGCTCAGAGTGTTTTATCACAGCCAGCTCTTGTGATTTACTTCACATAACTGGAAGAAGGCAATCATGTAAATAGGGGCTAAGGTTTATTCTTGGGAAATGCACAGTTCCACAGACTTGGGATCTTTAACTTATATTTTTGGTTATCACACATATGCTGTCAATTTAAATCTCTATTTGTAGCATGGGAATAATACCACACTAATTCTGTGGTGCTTGGTAGGAGAGCTCCTGTACCTGTGCTAAATGTACTCAGAGGCAAACCTGGCAGGTTCAGGGCAGGCATGTTGAAGGACACCTTTCCTATCCTCCCTAGTTTTGTCTTATTCCAGAGGTCATCATGGCCCTAGCATAATCTGGTTACTCTGGGAAGATGCTCTAAATTAAGATTGGCTTTTTTGGTTGAACAACTCAACCTGAATCTGTTCAGAGAACAGGCTGGAAACTCTTGTCTTCCCACACTTCTGCCCTTCCATCCCTCAACTTTATTCTGGGACTTGCAGCATCCACAGTTGATGGGATGATCTGCAATTACCCCCATAAAGAACTCATGCCTCACCCACTTTCTTTTATATGCTGTTTCCATCTATTGAGTAGCTGGTAGATAACTTTTTTTTTTTTTTTTTTTTTTTTTTTAATTGTTTTATGGTAATAATCCAGGGCTATGTTTTTATTATGGCCTCTTTGCACTAGATATTGTAGATTCTGGTAGTTGAGAGAGACTTGGAGAGCTTACAAGCTCCAGGTAGAACAAATGAAGGACTGAGATCCA